GTTACAACACACACACTAAATATTCCCAATCAATGCCTGAAAAATTACAGTAAATTGTAAGGTTAAGGTTTTCTGAAAGCTAAAATGATAATTCGTTCCTAGTCAGCAGAATAATCTTTCTGTTCAGAAAGCCGTGTTTTCAATTAGTACTTTACTGGCCTAACGGGTGACACTTTCCCTTAGTAGTGTAATACCACTTTTTCATACTGCATGCAGCATTATTTTAACAGCTGTTATTTCCCTATCTCTTAAGTTAATCAAAGCAAACGTCACTTCAGACCTTAAAGTAAAAAGGGTGTGTAATATTCTATGCATTTAATCCATTTTACATAAACACAAATAAGCCGGAGGACAGGAGGGGGCTGGAAAGTACCAAATAATATGGATACTGTAAGATGGATACCAGGGACTGCCCTGCTTGGACTCAGCAAGATTTGGCAGTGCCAGTACTGATCTGCTGCTGATCCCAGCCTTTTTTTGGCATTTCTGCTTCCACTCCTACACCCTCCCCAGTTGTGAACCTTAGTTACACATCAAATATGTTATGGAGAGTGCTTTAATAACTGTAGCATCCAGAGCCTTCCATCCCCATTCTTCATTTTACATAAAAGCAATGGAAGAATCCCCTGCAAATTCCCTTTCACTAGGCACAGGAGGGTAAAACATATTCTACAGCGACGGCTCCGTAATATAGAAAAGAGAAGCAACACATCAAAGAATTCCAAGTTATTTTACTTTCTAAACATACAAATTGGGAAGCAGAGAGGGAAGCAGTAAGCAGGATGGAGCATTATCCTTCTTTGTAAGTCTGCAGGCAGAGAATGTGAAAACACTTACGCGTCTCCAGCAATAAGAACAGGGACGACGAAAACAATTTCCTGCTATCTACGCTTTGTCAGGACAGGAAGATTTCAAAATGATGGTGATGAATGGAGGGAGAGTAAATTACAAAAGGAAGCAAGAGTGACCAAAGCTGGCAAAAAAAAAGTTACAATTTAAATAGAAGTGGAATGAGGAAAACATTAAGAAGGAGGATGGAATCAAGAAGGTACAGGGAAAGGGGAAAAAAACTGAACTTGACTCTCTTTAAATATTGATCAGATATTAACAACAACGAAAAAATTGATGTTCAAAGGTGATAAAAAATTATAAAAGGAGAATCTAGGAGTAGGCTTTGTTGAAAAGCATTGTATATCTGGACTGAAAACACTTGGTTCAAATGCAAACTCCTGAGAATGATTGTCCTATGTCAAAAAAAAAAGGAACCTAGAACCATTGACCATTGCTAAAAAAGAGGGGGGAAGATTTCTGATTTGGCTTTTTTTGATGTAAGATTAACAAAAGCACTTTGCTAGGAGGAATACACTAATTTTAAGGCCAAGTCTATGTTAGACCTAAGTTTCTGTAGCAGATCCATCAGACTAAACATTAAAACTCTATAGAGTTTTTTATAGGAGCTATACACACGTTGTTACAATTAAAAGCACCAATCCTTCAGGAAATAGATAACACATGAGTTTAGAACTGATAGAAAAAACAGTGGAACTTCTACCCAGGGGTAAAACAATAAAATATTTTGCAGTAAGAATAAAAAATCACTTGCAAAAAATACAATCTGCCTTGATAAACGACTGTTTCAAAAGACTTATTGAAAGGGTTTATAGCCATTACAATATAACGATTTAAGGATATTTAAACTTAAATTACTAAATCCATAGCAAAATAAAAGTAATTCAACCAAGGAGGTGCAAAGTAATTTTATAACTGTATTTGTAGCATTATTTCTATTTGTTACATATTGTCCCAAAAGTTGGGAGTGAAAATTTTCAAGGAGTTTATCAACTACAAAAAAAAAAAAAAAAAAAAAAAAAAAAATTACAAACCAGTATGGATAATAACATGAATGTTTTGGTGAGCATTTAGACTGCTTTTTAAAAAAACGAAATAACCCACTTCTTTCTAAAGAAAAGGAACAAGCACTGTATGTTACTGATATTTTTGTCCATTCCTTGATAAAGTTAAATTGAGAAAATTCAGCCTTGGTTTGAGTTAGTGTATTTTCTCCTGGTCCTGCTTTCGGAGACACTAAGGCAAAAAGCATTCCAGATTTACTGCTATTGTTACATATTCTGTACTTGGGTTTGACAATTGCATGCCTTGCAATTGATGTGTTTTACTTTGAAGTTAACATTCGGACTGAGATCTGAAGATTAAATTCTCTCTCTTTAAATAAGTTTATCAATTGCATGATTTAAGACTACAGCACAACTCTCCCCAAAGAAGAGAACTGTGCAGATAGGCCATGACCAAATGGAAACATTTCCTTTTTCACAGTTTCATCTTTTTAAGATGAAAATGGTGTCATTGAGATGTAATGATCATCTGAATGATATAACCAAGCAACCTGGGGTACAGGCAGCAGTAGGAATCCTAGGTAGATATATTATGACAAGTAATGGCTATAGTTTGCTACAAAATGATCTTTACATCACCTTAGCAGGGTTGTAAGAACTGATACACATAACAGCCTACTTAATCTAGAATATTTTTTCCACAGAGACTGTGATGGCTTTTTCTTCAATTCTATTTTTCTTTCCTGCAGTTTTCTTTGTAGGAAAACTGATGAAATGGCTGGGACACCACATAAAGAAAAGACTATTTAAAACTGGGAAAGGATAATGAACTATGAGATTAGGTTTTAATATCAGAACTATGTTCAGAGCACATGAAAATTTTATTAAAATATTTGTATTCTACAAAAATGAGTTAAACGAGACAGGTCAATGCTATATCCATCTGTACACCTCAGAACCAACTATTTTGTATTTTTTTTCTTTTCAGTACTACTAGACTTATAACCAAAGTAAATTCACATGAGATATTGCTAGACCTCAGTGACGCACCTTAATGAAAGTAAAACTCTCATATTCTTTGACATGTGTACAATGTTTAAAGAGAAAAATAGGCCCCAAATATCTCAATTGCATATAAATAAATAAATAAAAGGGTTAAAACCAGGACCCTTTTAATGCTGAAAGCACTTACCGCTGACATTCCCCAGCATGCAAAATTAAATCTTCATTATTCCTAGCACTGATGGTCAACTCATGTTCTGTAGAATTGAAGACATCAAGAAGTAGATGGCATTGCCGGGTACTGTTCAGATGGAGGGAAAAAAGAATAGCACAATTTCAATAACATGCCACAGAATTATTATACATAGATCAGAATAAATATATATGCATAAATATAAATATGCATACATTCACATACATATGTTTTATACCCTACTCCAATTATGAGTATCTTACTCTTTTCCCAGAAATAACTTTTCTTTTTTTAATAACTGGATTTTTTTTTCACTAGAACTAGACAGAAGCATATATCCTAAATTTCATGACAATTACCACTTGCATACTATTAAGCCTCATAACATTTCATCACCTTTATATATTCTCACTGTGCAGCTTTCACTTTCACTTCTATGGAAACAGCCACAGATTTTTGTTCAGCTCTTTGAGCATTCACATGAAACAGTTCCATTATTTCAAATTACCTTGACGTTATCTTTTTAAGAAGCAAATTTACAGGCAAAAATTTAAATCCTTGCCCAGTGTCAGGGAGCAATTCCATTTACTACAATAGCTGGTGGAGCAAAGCAAGCTGGCAATTGTAGTACTTTTCCATTATACCAACTACTCAGAGAGAGACAAACCTGTCCCTTCTGTAAGAAAGGTAAACACAGGCACCTTTCACAGAAAACCTTGTATTTGACAGCTATTACCCTTCAAATCCAAATTTCCCTAGAAGCATTCAGTATAAATATACCAACAGCATTTCTGGTCACCTTAGGAAATAATTCTAACAAAGGTACAGAGAAGAAACTTTGTTGTAAATTTTTATTCTTATTTATAAACTTTTCTTCCTTGCGAAACTAAGCACAACCAGCAGCATTGAGTGAGTGTATTGTAATACACGTGGAAAAATATCAGAACCAGATACCAAAATGCCAAATACAGTCATACAGCTGCAATAACGCTTCATCAGCCTACTCTGAAATTCAAAACTTCCTAAGAAGCTACTTAACAACAGAGAAACATCCCAGCCTTAAGCATCACAACTCTTTATCTTTAGCTGTCACTGACTTTGAAGTTTAAATGCACATGTAACAAAATTAGGTGACTTATTATGAATTACAGTAGAAAGTAGTATAGCCATAGCAGAAAGATTACGGATCATCTCATCCCATATAATTGCTATGAGAATCAGTATGAAGGGAAAAGTAACTTGTATTCGGTGTCAGAAGTAGAACCCATCACCAGCATTAATTTGAGAGAGTTCAGTTGAAAACAGAGGCTCCTCAAAAGGGAAGAAAAAGGAATTTGTTGGTAAGGTTAGAGTTGTCAGAGCCATCCTTTGAACAATATTTGAACAACATTCAAACTAAGTAAGATAGAGTTGTGCGTCTCATGCAACCAAGTATATTTGTCCTATTGCGTAGTAATTTACAATTAAACTCAAACACCAGCCATTCCAAAGGCTATTAAACTCAAGAGGTGCAAGAGTTTAAGAACTGCTCTTCTACTTTAGAATCAGGCTCTCTGGTTCATAATACAACTCTCTCCTGAAAATCGAGTGAGATGATTTTCAGAGCATAAACAGGAGGAACTGCATTGCTACTCTGCACACCCTTGAGATGGGAAGGCTCTTAGGACAAGCACGTGAGCTTAAGGTTCCGGTAACAAAAGTGATAGCAATGTCACACGCAGTCAGGCCCTAAATGACAAGCAAGCACTGCTTGGGGACAGTAGCATGTCCTATAGAAAAAGAAAAAACAAAAGTGGGGGTGGAGGCTTTTATTAATACATATTTTAAGGGTTTTCACTCTCTTTGGTTAAAACCTCAATGAATACTGAATATAGAGGAGAATGCATGAAGGTAGCCAAGTGCCTGAAGCAAACATGTCAAAACTCAAGAATTTAGAACAAATAAGGAGTCGTAGTTCTTATTAGAAACTCCCTTCCTTAGCAGTTCACAAGAAAGAAATAACTGGAAGGGCAGTATTTGAGTCGGTAGCTATCCTGTTACCAGCAAGGAATGAAAAAGAGAGAATAAAAAATAAAAGCCTGGCTTTCATCTTATCGTTGGGAGAGTGGGACAAGACCTGTAAAGACAGAGCAACCGTCTGCCTCTCCAGTGGATAGGAAGCTATGATCTGCAAGAGAGACTTCTGCTGTAGACTATGTTTACAAAATTCAACATGGAAAGAATTTTTTATTTATCCTATAGCAAAAGCAAACATTTGTCTGAAATAACATTCAAGCCTTGTGCAGTATCTTTTGGCAGCAGAACCAAAGTTTTGGAAATAACATAATTCATGCCATAAATATAAAGGACCTATATAAGCAGCAGCCCTTCAGGACTAAACACCATCACTAATACTAAAAATTCCCAAATATAAACCCTTGGACTACGCAGTGAAAATTATTCATCATCATGACATTTATTTCATCCTCTTCAAACACTACACTAAACAGACACGTAAGGGAAATAATTCTTTCCTTGTCAATTTTGAGTTAATTCTCCAGGGAAATACTTAATTCATAAAAATCAAAGTTACAGAATTATTACAGGACTTTGAAAACTTAGAAGAATAAGATACAAGTATAAAAAGACTGAAGGTAATATTAAGACTGTAGAAAATGATACCATTAGATGTTCAGAGTAAATACAGGACAGTATCAAAGAGGCTATTAGAGCAACGAAAACCAAACACAATTACAGGTTACACAAATATTTTAATTAAAACAGCAAGCTTCAAATGCTGGAAGCTGTATCCAAGTAAAGAAAACAAGACAAAGCATAAGCTCTGGAAAATTAGAACACCATAATAAAGTTAAAAAGGAAAAAAAGAAACCCTCAAGTTCCTAAGAACAATTTGTTAAATATCTCAAAACTAGCTTGATTTTTTAATTTTTTTTTTTTAACATGGCACAATGAGTAGGACTGTGTAGAACTGATGATGCTCAGTTATGATCTAGGCAAAAGTGAAAGTTCCAGGAAAACAGAAAAATTAGCAAGAAAGCCAAATTAACTATTTATATCAATTTTCACTACAGGTCAACTTACAGAAGGCCATCCTTTGCAAGATAGGAATTAAAGAACCTATCTCAACATGCCAGTAAATGAGATTTGAGAGGCAAATCATAACCAGGTAAGTGTGATAAAGGAACTCCAATATGACTTTGCTGAACTACTACATATAAGTCCAGTCAGCAATCTGTCGCTTAAACTAAGCTCTGTATCAGAGAAATGTCCAATGTCATATTGTTTTAAGGATTTTAAGGCAAGAGAGTAAATCTTAAGACCATTAACCCTGGCCTCCATAGTAGGTAAATTAATTTAAAAAGAATTATGTAAGCTTTTAAAAACTTAAAACACTCAAAATAATAAATGGATCTAAAGATTATTAAATTATATACCATAATGGCCTGCTGAAATTTTTTGGCTGAGAAGTACCAGTCATAAGCCACTGATTCCTGGAACTGGAAAAGATTATCCCACACTTCCCCAATTTCTTCTTACTTTTCCAAACTATCTACTACCACGTAATAGTTTACACTAAATGTTTAGTGGATTGGGGAGGGATGTATAGGCTGAGTTACTGGGGCAAAAATCCACTTTGAGTGAATTTTATGTCCCCTAAGTCTAGGTACGTAGATCTTAGTTACCATGCATCCCAGAGAAGGCGGAGAACTCAATCTTCAACATTTCACACAATGTGCAAGGGCATCAGTGGTTTCCCAGTCTTTTTAGAGGTTTTGGGTCATTTTGATGTTACTAGCTCTTTTTAAAGTTTGGGTCAAACATGCGTAAAATAAGTCAGTTTGTGTTTGGGTGTTTTGATTTTGTGGGTTTTTTTGTTCCTCCAGCCCATCTACGGAGGTAGCATGGTATCATCACACATTAACACACACAAAATTAAACCGTCATCTGGTTTTATTCCATATACTTATGGACTTATGAGCATTTAAGAAAACAATACGAATTAGTACAGAGTTTCCCATTTCTGCAAAACCCAAATAATCCACTCTTCATGGATTATTCTGGAAGATACCGCACAGAAATATGCTATTGCACCAGAAAAAAATCTCAACTCTCATATATCCACGTTCCTATCTCCTCATCATACACCCCCCCAAACTACCTACTGCTTTCTCACCTGTCCGTCAACCACAGTGGGCAGCGCAATGTTTTTGGCTGGCCCTGAGCTCATCCATGCCAACTGCTGAGTCCCTGCTTCTGCCTTTCCTCACTGGGACATAAATTAGGATAACTCTTCTCTATCCAGTTACCAATCTGCAAGAATATATTTATCTTTTCCCTGAAGCTGGCTGAAATTAGTCATAATTTACCTAGGGGAGAGGGGAAACAGTTCAAGTGATCATATAAATTTCATTTCCCTAGGAAATAAAATATAAAATTACCCAGAAAAATACAGCAGACACCACAAACAAAACATCTGTCTTTTCTGAATGGAATGATACACAAATTATTGCATTATGTTAAAAGTCCAAATTAAATGAAGATGAATTAAAGCTGTACTGGACTGTATATAGATGCTAGGATAAAGAACAAAAGTTCTTGAAAGGGTTTTACTCTTTTTTCCATCTGTCATTTTGACTGCTAATGGAAAGGAAATAAGCTTGGGTCAAACAAACAGTGTCAGAGCTTAAGTGGAAGAACACTAAAAATCACCACGTGCAAACATTTTCCGTTTCAATGATCTTCCTTTTTTGTCCATGATGTTTCCTTCAAAAAAATCCATCATAAATTTCATGCTCAAGATTTTCTTTTACAAATAACATAGAAATCTATACATCAGAAGGTCGGACAGGTAAAAACTAGAATTACAAGGAAACATTTTCAGTTGACTGACTTATAATCTGAAGGTCTCAGAATAGCATGCAAATTTAAGTCAATATTCATTTCAAACAATAAAAAATAAGAATTCCTAATTTTTTATTGAGAATTGAGTTAATTCAACAGTGTCTTGAAGATTTATTGTATAAATTAATTTCTGTTATCCTCTAGTGCAGAATTCAGGATATGACACAAACAAAAGTTAGCGACATGATGAATCATGCTGTATCTTT